CTGGTTGAAGTTTTTCAAATAATAATAATTTAGAATTTTTGAATGGAATTTAGTAACAAGTTTTAAAACATGGTTCAACTGACTTTTGAGGTTAGAAGTAGCTTCTCTCTGTTCTTGTTTTCTTATATACATACTTTGAAATCAGAACAACTTTTAGCAATTGAGAGATTCAGGTTTCAAGGTTTGCGCCGATAACCAATATGATCTTCTTCGGACTCGATCAAGGTTTAAATTTCATGTCCTAGTTTACCCTGCTGAAAATGCAATTGAGTAGATCTATTTGCACTGATTCAGTAGATCTCTGATACTTGGGTTTGGTTAGGGATGATGATAATCTATTTTACATTTTCCTTCTACTTGCAGCCAATAACGCTTTGCAATCGTGAATGTTGGGATAGATGCTTCTCCTAAGTCCTAATAATGATCATCAAGAAAGCAATAGTGTCGTGAAAGTAACTTCATTGTATATGTAAAGTCTAAGTTGCAGCAGTTTGATTAGGTGTTTGGTTTATTGGTTTGTATAGAAATTGAGAAACTGAGTGGGGAAAAAAAACAAATTACTTACATAAAATATTCTCCAATGATTCTAAAAGCAAATCAGGGACTGTTCAAGGAACATAATGCAGCAATTAATCATATCATTTGGGATCAGATGATGAGATGAATAATCTTTTTCATTGTAATTAAAGGAGGTAATTGGAAACTAAAAGGGATATTAAAGTTTCCTTCCTTCGTAATGGTGAAAGTTGAAGCAAAGTGTATAAAATAAAAACAAACAAAATAGTGTTTTTTCTTTGACAAGGTGAAGCAAAATACTGTATAGTTTGTAAATCAAGTTGTTAAATAAAAATAACGATGTATTTGTCGGCGTCCTTGATTCTTGGCTTATTATCGACCCACATACCTATTTCACATTTTCCTTCACCACATGAATATAATCGATTTCATATTTTTGGATAACTATTCTTAGATTTTATGGTGTAATATGTGAAGCATATTTTTCTTATATATAAACAGATCAATATAAATTGAAACTTGAAAATATTAGTCCATCTGGTTTTGTTTCTTTTCCTTAATAGTCCAAAACTAGACTAATTTTGAGACATTCTCTCGTGAGAGAACTAAACTTGATTGACAAAAACAAGAATGGACATTCAGCTATTTACTATATATATCTTTAACGAATTTGAGTTTATCTAGTTCGATCTATCACACTAAATTTAGTTTTTGACTCAATTTAATTCGATTTGTTCAACATAGATTTTTTGGTACCAATCGAGTAATAAACCGATTTTGGCTTTGGGTTTGGTTCGGTATACAATCGCTAATAAACCGAATTTTTTTTCTCCTTTTTCTATCAAATAATTCATATATTATTATTC